AGCTTGATATCAAATCAGAGACGCGCCGTCTGATAGAAGAAAAAGTTGGCTCCGATCTACATATTGTGGGGTCGGGCTCCAAATTCCTTAATAGGACACCCATAGCACAAGAGTAAATAAATAGAATCAACAAATGGGACTTACTCAAACTAAAAAGTTTTTTCTCAGCAAAAGAAACAATAAGAGAGGTAAATAGGGAGCCTACACCCTGGGAACAAATCTTTACTCCTCACACTTCAGATAGAGCCCTAATATCAAGAGTATACAAAGAACTCAAAAAATTAAACAATAAGAAAACAAATAACCCAATCAACAAATGGGCCAAGGACCTGAACAGACACTTCTCAGAGGAAGACATACAATCAGTCAACAAGTACATGAAAAAATGCTCACCATCTCTAGCAGTCAGAGAAATGCAAATCAAAACCACCCTAAGATACCATCTCACTCCAGTAAGATTGGCAGCCATTATGAAGTCAAACAACAAGTGCTGGCGAGGATGTGGGGAAAAGGGTACACTTGTATATTGCTGGTGGGGCTGCAAATTGGTGCAGCCAATTTGGAAAGCAGTATGGAGATTTCTTGGAAAGCTGGGAATGGAACCACCATTTGACCCAGCTATCCCCCTTCTCCGTCTATTCCCTAAAGACCTAAAAAGAGCATGCTACAGGGACACTGCTACATCGATGTTCATAGCAGCACAATTCATAATAGCTAGACTGTGGAACCAACCTAGATGCCCTTCAATAGATGAATGGATAAAAAAAAATGTGGCATTTATACACAATGGAGTATTACTCTGCACTAAAAAATGACGAAATCGTGGAATTTGCAAGTAAATGGATGGCATTAGAGCAGATTATGCTAAGTGAAGCTAGCCAATCCCTAAAAAAACAAATGCCAAATGTCTTCTTTGATATAAGGAGAGTAACTAAGAACAGAGTAGGGATGAAGAGCATGAGAAGAAGATTAACATTAAACAGTGATGAGAGGGGGGAGGGAAAGGGAGAGAGAAGGGTAATTGCATGGAAATGGAAGGAGACTCTCATTGTTATACAAAATTACATACAAGAGGAAGTGAGGGGAAAGAAAAAAAACAAGGGGGAGAAATGAATTACAGTAGATGGGGTAGAGAGAGAAGATGGGAGGGGAGGGGAGGGGAGGGGGGATAGTATAGGAAAGGCAGCAGAATACAACATACACTAGTATGGCAATATGTAAAACAGTGGATGTGTGATCGATGTGATTCTGCAGTCTGTATACGGGTAAAAATGGGAGTTCATAACCCACTTGAATCAAATGTGTGAAATATGATATGTCAAGAACTATGTAATGTTTTGGACAACCAATAATAAAAATTTTAAAAAAAGAAAAAATAATAATAAAATCTGTTTTATGAACACCAAAAAAAAATCAGATATTTAAATAGGGATTTATGTGATTTGCTTGAAGTCACTTGAAAGTGGCACAGGTAGCTCTTAAACTCAGATCTATGAACATAGCTGGCAGAGGAGTAAAAGAGGCCTCTTGTTCTAGTGTCCTGCCACACAGGTTGATGGTCATTTTCTGCTTTTCCCATCTGAAACCCCATGCAGGGACCCAAGGAACAGACACCAAGGAACATGTGCAGGGCTAGGGCTACAGCTCAGTGTTAGAGTGCTTGCCTTGCACGCTGGGGGCCCAGGGTTCAATCCCCAGTACGGGGAAAAAATAAAATAAAATAAAACAAAAACAAAGGAGTAATTATTTCATTTATATAAGAGTATAGCACTGGCAAAACCATAGGGACAGAACTCAGAGCAGCAGTTTCCAGAAAATAGATACAGGAAAGAGACTCGCTACAAAGAAACAAGTAGAACTTTTGGAGGTGAGAGAAATGTTCTCTATCAATTGTGGTGTGGTTACAGGACTACATACATTTGCCAAAATTCATCAAACTATACACCATAAAATAGTAAACTTTTTATATGTAAGTTATACCTCAGTAAATCTAATTTTTAAAGCATATTGTATGTAATAAAATGTGGTTTAAAATTTTTTTGAATCTGAGATCTGAGAAAAATATGTTTTAAAAAAGAAACAGGTACAGTGGCACACACCTTTAAACTTAAATATTCAAAATGCTAAGGTAGGAGGATTACACATTTGAGGTTGGCCTGGACAATTTAGCAAGATGCTGTCTAAAAAGAAAAAATAAAAAGGACTGGGGATTTGGCTCAGTGATAGAGCTCTCCTGGGCTTAATCCTCAGTTCCACAAAAAGAGAAAAAAAGATAATTTTTATTGCAAGTTTTCTATAAGATATCGTCTAGTCTATTGGGGCTGCTATACCAAAAACTCTTACGCAGTGTAATTCATAAACAATGGAAATTTATTTATCACAGTTCTGGAGACTCAATCCAAATCTAAAGGACGTAGAACCAATAGAGCTGAGAATGGAACCCTCAGTCCAAGACCAAAGGCCTGAGAACCCAGGAGACATGGGAGCACTGGTGTCAATGTTGTAGTCCAAAGGCCAGAGAACCTGGAAGTCTCTGGAGAACCAGGAGAAGAAGAGTGTCCCAGCTTCAAATCCATGTGGTTCTGGCTTTAACATTTGAATTTTGCGGTGGGGTGGGGGACACATGAATTCAGACCATCAAGATAAGCACTTTACTGGGATTTAGTAATAAGAAAATGGAAGACATAATCTATGACTTTAAAGATCTTAGTATCCAGTGAGAGGAAACAGGAGTAAATAAAGCCACAATATTGAGTAATAAGTGTGTTAGTTGAGTATGCACAGAGGGACATCTTGACCTGATTTCTGGAAATTATGGACTCCTAGAAAGAGAGAGGTTTGAGCTGAAGTGTGGTCTGTAAGAGTCAATTATCTGGATAAAACAAGGACATTTTTAATTAAGGGAGTAAAAAGTACAAAAACAGAGAGAATTCATAGATAAGTTCTACTTGTAAAAGTTGTCAAAATTAATCATGTAATGAGTAAAAAGGAGAAAATTTAGACAATGAGTCAGAAAGTAAATTGTATGGCCGTGGAGCATATTAAAATGTGAGCTGCTCTTTTCCAGGAAGTGACAAATGACCTTAATAATCCTGAAAAAAAATCTCACTCCAATTAGAAAGGCAATCCTGAATACAAATAACAATGATTGCTAGTGAGAATGCAGGGGGAAAAGGTATATTCACACATTGTTGGTGGGACCAAAAATTAGTACAACCACTTTGTAAAGCAGTGTGGAGTTTAATCAAAAGGCTAGGAATGGGATTACTGTATAACCCTGCTATTCCACTCCTTGGTATTTATCCAAAAGAGCTAATTTCAGCATTCTATACTGAAACATACATACCAAAGTTTATAGCAGCCCAATTCACAAATAGTCAAGTTATGGAAACAACCTAGGTGCTCATCAACAGATGAGTGGATAAAAAAATATAGTTTATATACACAGTAGAGTTTTACTCAGCTGTAAAGAAGAATGAAATTATGGCATTTGCTGGGAATGGATGGAACTGGAGATTATGCTAAGTGAAACAAGCCAGACTCAGAAAGTCAAGGGTTGAATATTTTTTCTCATTTGTGGGAACTAGAGAGAAATGAAAATGGGACATGGTATCATGAAAATGAAAAGGAGAACAGTGGAGTAAAGGAAGGGGACCCACGGAAGTATGCAGGGAAGCATAAGGAACGCAACTGTGAGATAAAATTGACCAATTTATGCTATATGCATGTATGAATGCATCACAATGAATTTATATATATATATTTGCACTAATTAAAAAAAAATAGAAGGAAAACTAGTAGACTATAGGATAGGGATTGGGGGAGGGAGGAAGAAAATGAAAGGGGAAGTATTGGAGATTGGGGGGGGAAAAGAGAATCCTGAAAACCAAGTTTATAAATGAACAGGACTGTTACATATTAAGAACAAGCATTTTTTTGTTTTAGCAAAGTGGCTTAATTCTTCAATGATTCAAAGATCAGCACAGACTTTACTGATCTGTTCCATTTCTGATATCTTTACTTCATGTCCCATTTATTTCAATTCATTGATTCCATGACTTTTAAGCTTTTAAAAGAAATTAAGGGCACAAAAACCTGGCTGTCTACCATGCTATATCATCCCGGAACATGCAACAATTATTTAGCATATGTCACTTCGTGGTACAAAAGTCCCTTCCCAAGGATCAGCAGAAACAGTAGAATATGATTATCTAAAGCCTATACATAGTCTCATGAACAGGTCCCTACAAGTTATTGTACAACATTTGTTTTCATTCTACTGAACAAAACTCAGTCATAGAGTGTGATGTTTAATTTTAGATGTCAACCTGACGGGATACTCAGATACCTGATATTTCTGAGTATATCTTTCAGGGTGTTTTCAGGAGAGAATGGCATTGGAGTGGGTAGCCTGAGTAATATCTATCCTCACCCAATGTGGGTGGGCACCATTCCGTCTGCTGAGGGCCTGATAGAACAGAAAGGAAGAAAAAGGTCAAATTCATATCCTCTCCCCTTCCCCTCTCCTCTCTCCCCTCTCCCCTTTTCACTCTCATCTATACTAAACTGAAACATACATACCAATGTTTATAGCAGCCCAATGCACTTACAGTTTTTTGTAACTTTGTTTAAAAATAGGGAAATGGCAGAGTGTGGTAGCACATGCTTATAATCCCAGCAACTCAGGAGGCTGAAACAGGAGGATTGCAAATTTGAGCCAGCCTGAGTGATTTAGTGAGGACTTGTCAAAAAAAAAAAAAAAAACCTTAGGGGAGGATGTAGTTTGGTGGTAGTGATAAAGGGGACAAGAGGCTGAGTCAATGAAATAAACCCCTGGATGCGTAAAAAGACCTATCGTGAGACCTTGATAAAACCACAAAACAAGACCCAACACTATGCTGCCTGCAGGAGACGCATTTGATAGGAAAAGACATACATAGGCTGAAGGTGAAAGTTTGGGAAAAATCATATCACTCATATGGACTTCGGAAACAAGCAGGAGTGTCCATACTCGTATCAAATAAAATAGATTTCAAGCCCAAGTTAATCAAAAGGGATAAAGAGGGACACTACATACTGCTTAAGGGAACCATACACCAATAAGACATAACAATCATAAATATATATGCCCCAAACAATGGTGCGGCTATGTTCATCAAACAAACTCTTCTCAAGTTCAAGAGTCTAATAGACCACCATACAATAATCATGGGACACTTCAACACACCTCTCTCACCACTGGACATATCTTCCAAACAAAAGTTGAATAAGGAAACTATAGAACTCAATAACACAATTAATAACCTAGACTTAATTGACATATATAGAATATACCACCCAAGATCAAGCAGTTACACTTTTTTCTCAGCAGCACATGGATCCTTCTCAAAAATAGATCATATATTATGTCACAGGGCAACTCTTAGACAATATAAAGGAGTAGAGATAATATCATGCATCTTATCTGATCATAATGGACTGAAACTGAAAATCAATGATAAAAGAAGGAAGGAAAAAGCATACATCACTATAAGCAATAATAAATGTCTCATCTTAACAGAGTGAAATTCTGGATATATTTGTTTTCATGTCTTGAAAGAAGAAAATATAAATCATTAGATAATTTCTAAATTTGATTTCTTCTGAGTGATCCTTAGTTTAATGATATTGTTATGAAATCATCACATTTCAAACATCCCTTAAACGTGAAGCTATTCCTTTATTCATGAAATCAAATGCAATAACAGGAATACATGTGATCATAAAAATTCAGAACCAAAAATGAGATTAGTACAGGACAGTTATTATTCTCAATGAAATGGTATATCTCAAGAATAAATGCATAAATTCACATTCTGGAACTGCATGCATTAAACAAATACCTTTATGTTTAAAAATGTCTAACATTTTGAGTAGGTACCAGTGTTTGTATACAGTATCCATGTTTTCTGATTTTCACATGATCAGGAGTATCATCAATTCAAGCCCCACAGTGAATATAAATACCGGTAAACAAGCTACACAATCATCAACTTTCTTGACTTCCAGAAATGTAGCCCTTAACATTTAATATCCACATTCAATTTTTTTCAATGTATTTCTGCTAAAGGACATACTGAAAATAAAATGTTTATCAAATCATATAATGAATTATATAAGGCAGTGAAGTGGAACATACTTGTAATCCCAGCAACTTTGGAAGCTGAGGCGGGAGTATCACAAATTTGAGGCCAGCCTCAACAACTTAGTGAGACCCTATGCAACGTAATGAGAAGCTGTCTCAAAATAAAAGAAAAAGCAAATTCATAGAATATTATTTATAAAATATACCCCCAAATTATTAAAGATAATTATCCCTTTTAAAAAAGTTATTACTTTTTTAAACTTGGTCATGGTGAAAACCAGCGTTTGAAACTTTCCCCATCTAGTTTGATAAATGTCAGTATATTATGTTGTGCTTCACTTGATGTTCTGTTCTTGTGGGAAAACTGATCTATAGAAGAGAGAGGTTTTTATTATAAAACGTTAGATGCTGTATCACAATAATTAAGCCATCAGGCATATTTGTATGGGAGTTATGGCAGCCACCTTCTCAGCTAAACGTTATTGAGAAGTTTACTATCACTCCAATGCTTGTTTGAAAATAATTTTTAAATAAATTTAAAATTTGAAAATATTTTGGAGTGCTGGGGATGTGGCTCAAGCGGTAGCACGCTCGCCTGGCGTGGGCAGGGCGCTGGGTTCTATCCTCAGCACCACATAAAAATAAAGATATTGTGTCCACCGAAAACTAAAAAATATTTTAAAAAATTCTCTCTCTTAAAAAGAATTTGGAAAGTAAATTCAATGAAATGCATTGAAACAGTCACTGTTCAATCCACAGAAGTAGTTTTGGTCAATCATCAAAGTCAAGAGAAACAACAGGCTCCTCTAAGCACCCGATTATTGAACTTTATGAATAAGCCAGTAGAAGCCACCTGGTACAGAGATCCACAACCTCCTAGGAGCCCCAAACACACTTCATCAGGAGAGTCAAAGCTTGGTGTGCACACACCACCTCAGCTGAAGGAAGCCATCCATTCAGTTTCCTCACTGTTCCATTAGGGTGCATGACAGTTCCCTGTCTTTATGCCTTCCAGTCACATTGCACCCTCAGGGTACATGGCTACCTGCTACTGCCTGCTAGAGACACTTCTCGTCATTATGCCAGTTTGGCAAAGTACAGTTTACCTAATTAGCTATTCCAAGGATGAGGCAAAGATGCTCCCTAGGGTTGTGCCATTATTATGGATCTGATGTCCTTCTGTCATCCTGTGAACTTGTCACAGGAGGATTCAATTCAGCATCAAATCCTCAAGTGTTTCTGGAGTTGAGGAAATGTCACAGACAACCTATTAATCATGTCCCTTCATAGATAAAGTTAAAGTGAGTAAAATAAGCATCTAAAGGCCTGGGAAATGTTGGCTACTTCTGATTCATCTCCATTCATTTGGCCCTAAAGTTTCTTCTTATTATTTACAATGAATTCAGAAGATCCTTCCAAATTAAAAGGCCTGATTCCGAAGGCTGTTCTTGAGCTAACTTACTTCTATATCAATGATACCAAATGCTCTCTGTGTCTCAAAATTTCAATGACTCATGTATGTTCCAATATTTCATGAGAGGACCCGATCTTTGGTACGTATTATTTCATGTTATTTTATCTTTAATAGAAGTTACTTTTATCTAAGTATAAAAGGATTCAAATTAGTTTTATGGAATAAAGCTATAAAAATGGGATGGAAGAAACACTAAGTAACCTAGAATCTCACACTCCAAAGAAAATCACTGTAGCATTTCCAGCTCTGGGAGTAGCAACATCAGTATGTGAGTGGGCATCTTTGTAACTGCATTCAGGAGAGAAATCTAAAAGGAGGAATAATCTAAGATTGAGAGTTACAGCAGGCTCTGCCTACAACTCTCTAAGGGGAATGTTTCCAAGTCTCAATCTCAGGAGTTTGAGCATCCATGTTCCCTGTCAAGTGGACACCTACCCACCATCATCCTGGAACAGAGTACCACAACTCTGGAGTCACCTAAATACACACACACACACACACACACACACACACAGAAGGGAATAACAGGACAAACCAAGACCCCGTCTCCCATGCTCCCTTTTTAACCATGTAGTCTCTGTACTTCTCATTCTGATGGCTCTATTTAGAGACTGACTTGAGATTACATATATTGTCATAGCTGAAAACAACTATGGAAAGTGAAACTTTCAAACATTCACTGTTAATCACCATGTTTCCTCAAAAACTCCTTAAAGGCAATATACCAATGACATGGGAGTCTGGGTTTTAGGAGAAAAGTGGATGGAAGATATGAACAAGGGTATTCAGCTCCTGACTTAGGGAAGTGGAGAAGTGGAGATGCATTTTCCATCTTCACCACCATAACACCCCCAAACTGGAAAGGGATTGGGAAGGACAGTTTGAATGAAGAAAGGCAAATTTGCCCTCTGTAAATTGCCCACACCCCCAAGGCACAATAAGTCCTCTCAGCAAAAGCCAAATGTAAAACCTGATCTAGAATTACAAAGAAGAAATGGTTTTGAATTCACTGGGAATAAATGATGCATTTTTCCCCCATAAAGAGTATGTTAAAGAACCTCAAAACCCATATTGCAGATAAGCCTCTCAATACTTTTAATGATCCATGAAGTTATTAGATATGTTATCTGATAAGCAGAGATTTTTATTTTTTTATTTATACAGTTAATGGACTAGATCAATTTTTTTTTTTTTTTTGCATTTCATTCTGTGCCTCTTTGGGATGCCAACATTAACTCTGATTTGCCTAGTAAGATGCATTTAGACCACAGAGATGTCTTGATTTCAGAAAGTAATATAGAACTTAGTTCTATTGGCCTTTTTCTCTCAATTCAAAATCATCTTATCGAAAGCTAAAATATTCTTGGTATTTGTTCACATTTTACTGTGTTTTGTACATTTAAGAAGTTTTCATTGTTCAATTCTAAATGCTGCTTGGCATATTTGTCTACAGAGCTAGAAAAAAACTATACACTTTGAACACAATGTATGTGAACATAATGATAATTATAGGCATGAAAAGACTTTTAAATAAGCAATGTATAGTATTGGTAAGAATATCTGATAATGGTATTTGAGTAGTTCTTATTTGTTAATGAAAACTAGGCAAGGCTTTGGGTGGGGAAAAGTCTTCTTTAGCCATTCCATTTACCCTTGAAGTATTTAATGAAAATGTGGAAACTTAAGTTGCTGTAATATGTGAGTACCTCAAAATATATAGCAGTTAAGTTTTCAATAACAACAGCCTCATTCCAATATTGGGTGGCAAAGATAAGTTGTTTACTTCTTTGGAGAATAGAACTGTGGTAATCAGAGCCTGGGAAGGGAGTAGAAGAAGAAGGGTTGAGGAGAAGTACAGGGGTGCAGTTGGATGAGAGGAGTAACTTCTAATGTTCTATAGCATAGTAAATAACTATGTTTGACAGCAGTTAAATATTACCAATAACTAATAGAGTATTTTGAATGTTGCAAGCACCGAGACAGATAAATACCTGAGGATATATGCCAATTAAATTGATATGATCCTGACACATTGTTACACATTTTATACACATCTTGAAATATCACCTGTGTCTCATAAGTATGTACAATTAGCTCTGTCAATTAAAAATCAAAATATATATTTTTAAGATTTATTATTTCTTCTGTTAATTACATGATTTGTGAGAATCCCTTTTTTATTTTTTCCTAATACTGTGGGTGAGCCCAGGGGAATTAAGCCACTGAGTTATATCCCAGTTTTTTGTTTTTTTTTTTTTTTTTTTTTTTTGTTAGTTTTTATTGAGGTAGGACCTCTCCTAAGTTGCTAGGCTGGCCTTGAACTTGAGATCCTCTTGCTTCAACCTCAATTGCTCGGATTACAGGCATAGGCCACCACATCTGGCAAGAATCCTTATTCTTATTGTGAGGAGCTGGCTCTTCCTTTACCTGTATTTCCTATCTCTGTGTGGGGTAAACACTAGTCAGTACCTAGGAAGGCTATTGTTCCTGGCAGTGAGGTAAGGACTCCAAAGAATGTGATAAGGAAGAAAATGGAGAGGAGCAACTGGTTGTTTCCTTTCTCTCTAATCTTCAGGTGAGGAATAAAGCAGAGTGACCTTGGTTATAAAGTAGAAGAATGTACTCATAAAACTTCTGAAGAACTTCACCTCTGCAGTGAGCAAGCAGCCTATCCCATATATTCCCCTGCTTGTACATGCTGTGCAGCCCTCTATTGTATCCTGGCTTGCCACCACCAAGGAGCACATGAGTCATAAAATATCCAAACCCTATCTGTTGAATCCTCAAAGTTCCTTCTTTGGGACTGAAAAACCCTTGCAGCCCAGGGGGTTGAACACTGTATTTCTGATTGTGTCCTTTTTTTTTTTTTTTTTTTTTTTTTTTGTATTGTTGTTCTCTTATATAAGTATAGTTAATAAAGATTTGCATTGGAAAGTTAACAAGGGAAATAATTTACAAGCATTTTTGGACATTACAATATCTTCAGAACTCCGTTCCAAACATGTGTTACCTCAACTTATAATAACGAGCTAAATCATTTGCTTAAGTATAAACATAATTCTTTGTGCTTATAGTTAAGCACTTTGATACACCTAATTCAAACAAACAAACAAAAATAAATAAAATCCCCAGGGAAATCTTTGCCAGTAGGAGAAAACCGTTACAACCTCTCAATCTAAATCACATGCCAAAGCTGATATTTAGATTCCAATATCACATATAAATCTAAAATCCTTTTACATTTTCTATGACTTAAATATGCATTTTAGCTCCAGCTTGCAGCATCCCTTTGTCAGGAAGGTGATCAATTATTGCAGGGTTGGAGCAATTCAGAAGTAACATACAATGCCAGGCTTTGTAGCCACATGTAGTCTGGTTATGAGAGTTTATCCTTGTAACAACAGAGAAGCAAATAAAATTTAGGGAAGTTATACATTGGAATTATGTATTTCCATTGTGTCTTTAGAATGAAGAAACTCTCAGGACTTGGGATGTAGCTGGCGGGTAAAATGCTTGCCTTCCCAGGAAAAGGCTCTGTGTTCAATTCTCAGTACTAAGAATAAAAATAAATTAGAATAAAGAAATTTTCAAGCTTTGCTCATTTGTGTTATTAATGAAATGTCCTCTGATAAAATGATGCTCTTTTTTTTTCAACCATAGAACTCTTTTAAGGTCTAAGAAGAGTAGGACTCAGTTAAGTTGAGCAATAAGGACCAAAGTGTTAGCACAGACTTTATTGTGATCCTTAATTCCAATTTATCATTTCCACTCTACTATCCTTAATTTCAAATTATCTTTTCCACTCTACTTTTCGGGGCGTGAAAAGGAGTCTGTCGAGTACACATTATTTGAGAAGATAGAAACTAACTTATAGAAGTATAAAAGAAAACGAATTCCACTTTAAGGATAGTTATGCTCATATTTTCACAGGAGAAGAAATAGGGAGGTAGCTTAATTATAATGACTTAAATGGATTATTGGTTTAATTCTTTTTAATGCAGAAGCTTATAAGATAGACCCATGTCATCAGTACAAGAAAACAGGTTACAGGAAAAGCATATATTTTACAGTGAACATTTGTAGATTGCATATTGGAATAATTTGTATGTATTTATTCAATATATTGCAAACAAGAGAGAGTTAAAAGGTAAAAAAAACTACTAAATACATGCTTGTTTTTATCCCAACCACAGGACAGATTGCTGAGCAATCTGTCATAAAACTTGACTTTTAGTTTCCAAACTTTTCCTGCAGCAAGAAGAGATGGCAGTGCTTGGAAATGGGAAAACTAAAACTGAAAACATCTCAGAAAAAAAATTCTCTGAAGAAACTTCTTTTTTCCTGGGTAGAGTCATGCTACAGGCATCCTGCCAGGGAGATAGACTCCTTGCCACCTAAGCATACTAGCATGAGCATATATAAATCAATCCTTCTATCACACAGATGAAAGCAGAGCAAGCCTACAGGTAACGAAGAACGGTCTGCAATTATTCAGGCTCACCTCATCCCTCTAGTCTAAGAGAAGAGAACTTATTTCTTTCTAAATGAAGTACAAATCCCATAGTAGCAGTTTTGTTTGGCTAACAGGGTCATGTGACTCAGTGTCCATGAGTTTCCAGAGGGCTGTATTGATACCCTTTCCCCTAGAATCCATACAGTACAGCAAGGCCATTTTCCCAAAAGTAATAGTACCACTAATTCTAGACTGGAGAAGAGATGATGGTCATATGCAATCGAAGCAATGTCCTCCTCAAGTGACAAAACCGCAGGAGCACTGTTGGAAAGAAACAGAAATACAAAAGGTCTGATTTGCTTCTGCCATGTACTTGCATATTTGAGATATTTAAAAATTTTAGTGGATATTAAAAGTGTACAGATAAACAGAATAATCTCCAAGTCAGGCTTATTTGAGGTTCTCTCTCTCTCTCTCTCTCTCTCTCTCTCTCTCTCTCTCTCACACACACACACACACACACACACATGCACACACACACTCTTTCAGAATGCTCAATGAAAGAAATCAGCCTTCCTCAGCCTTAAGTATGAAAGAGGTTTCAAAGGCACACACTGGACAATTACTGCAATGCATGAGCCTTGGGTCCATTTATAATATATGGGAATTGTCCTAGATATTCTGAGTATGATGCACAATGTTGATAAGCTAGCCAACTATATATCAAATAGGCCATATTGGAGATATAACCAAAAGGATTGGTGCCCTTAGGGAGCTTTGTATTCTATCTTCTCTAAGCCTTACCCAGGCTCTAAGGTAAAAGATCTTAAAATATTTTGTAGCAAAGTTTTCCATTAATTTTTTTTCCAAAATGAAGTCTTTACTCAGCTGTCCAACATATGCAACAAATAAAAGTAAAACTACTTAAGTTGAGTGTGAGTTTGGGAAGGGAGCTTGCCTAGGCCCAGCTTCTTCCTGCCATTATTCTTGTGTTCAGTCAGAGTTGATCTAACTAATGAAGGAGGCAGGACTCATAGATGTTAAAAGTCTTATTGTGCTGATTTCTATGCCAAATTTTAGTCTGACAATATGATTTTCAGAGTAATTTTTAAATGTGGGAAATTCAACCAAAATTCCCTCAAACAGTAATGATTTGCTATTAGAAAACAAGTAGAACAAATCTTAAAGAACAACGAATAGATTATAGAAAAGAAAATGTTTGCTTTTAACAATGGATATAGTACCATGGAAGAATTGGATAAGCAAAACTTAGACAATAAATCCAAACCTTTCAGTAGAACCCAGCTCTCCCATTGATATAAAAAGCATTCCAGGGACCATAGAGATTTTGAAATCACTGCAGAGGGAATACAAATACAGTTTGTAGAGGTTAATTAGGGCATTAGACGACAATATTGCTTTTGGAAAGTTTTTTGTTTAAATAACTGGATTGCTGAAAGATTTCAAATAGATTTCTGAGAGAAAACAAATGAGTTTTTGGATTTAAATTTAAATAGTTGAAACAAGTTTATCCTAATGTAATATGCCTTAGAATAACTATGAAGATCATCATATATACCGCCCAAAATACAAGAAACATTTTTTTTTCCTCCAACTGAGCAACTAGAGAATTAAAGCATATAGAAAAGAGATTTTTTTAGTCATGTGGAAATTCTTGAAAGTGATAGATGAAGACTGGTAGCTTGAAAAGGGTTAGACAAAGCTGATGTCATAGTGTTTACTTCCAAATGTTCAATGACAGTAAATGTATTTCTCTCCAAGCCCTAAGAGCAGTTTAAAGATGTTATCTAATTAATCCATTCATTTAAAAAAATGATACTTATATCACCCCATGAGATAGTCATCTGTTCTACTGCAATTATGCTGAGAGAATCAAGGAATGTATGACAAAGGACTTGTCATTCATCCACTTAGCAAACAGATACAAGGCAATGTCACTATCTGTAACAGGTGCTGAGGATAAGCAGCAAATAAGATATAATCTCTGTGAGAATTGCACAGTTCAAGGTAAAATAGATATAGAGATCATGTCAGCATGATATAGGTATTCTGAGAAGTAACTACAACATTATATTTGGAAAGATAATTAAGAGGATGTTCAGGAAGGGTTTGTCATCTATAGGGAACCTAGATATACAAGTTGGCCAGGAGAGGAGAGTGATGAAAGAATGTTCCATTGAGAGGGGTCACAATATGCAAAAACCTAAGGGCCAAATACAAAGGTCATGTTAGAGGCTCAGGAATCATTCAGTGTCACTGAAGTAAGAGTTAGAGAAGGGGTGTTATGATATTATGCTGATAACATAAACAGAATCTAGACAATGAAAGGCCACAAATAGCATGTCAGGGATTTGAGGCATTATATAAGGCTTTCAAGCAAAAACTGATTTTTGCTGGATCTGAATATAAAACAGATTGTTCGGACTGGAAGTGGAGAAGGGTGTGAAGGTGAGCAAGACTGTATGCAAGGAGAACAATGAAGAGTGAACAGTTCTTCAGTAAGAGAATTTAAAATTTCATTGGGACCAAACAGAGGTAGCAGAAGTGAGGACAGAGAAAACTGCCCCAATCCAACTGGTCTTTATAGGGCCCAGCAGATAAGACTTCACAGCAGGAAGGACAGAGACCAAAAGAAGGGAAGTAGGAAGCCTTCTGGGTTTTTGGTCTTGGCATTGGGTGTCCTTAAATGGGGAATACAGGCTGGATTCTGGTTGATGAATTTAGTTTTTAACATGTGGAACTTGGGGTTTCTGTGATTCCCCAAGAGAAATTCTTGTGTTTTCTCTATTATTTTCTTTACTTTTTAGGTACTAGGGATTAAACTCAGGAGCACTCTACCACTGAGCTACATCACCAACCTTTTTCATTTTCTGAGTCAGGGTCTCTTTAAATTGCTGAGGCTGGCCTCAAACTTCTGATCCTCCTGCTTCAGTCTCCTGAGTAGCTGTTATTATAGTTGTGCACCACGCACCTCTTGGAATTTTTGTTCTCATCATGATCCTACTTTGTTCAATGTAACTGCATTAGATGAAATAGGACAAATTGAAGGAAAGATTATATACTGAAGGCAAATATTGATGAGGAAAAGGGAGGTAATTGGAAAACAAACCACTGAACCAGTGAAATAAAATGAAATGCCAGGTACATCGGCTCACACCTGTAATCCCAGCCACTTGGGAGACCAAGACCGAAGGATCACAAGTTGAAAGCTAACCTTCACATCTTAGTGAGACCCTGTCTGAAAAATAAAAATTAAAATGGACTGAGAATGTAGTCCAGTGGTAAATCACACCTGGGATCAATCTCCAGTACCAAAAGGGAAAGAAAAGAAAGGGAGAAAAAAGACACTACTCAGTGAAATGGAATTACAAAATCATAGTATCATAAGTACTGTGAGTAGTTTTCCATATTTACAAGATTAAAGAAGCAAGCAACACCTGAATTGCATGTTGTCAGTATAAATTCACGGAGGCAGAGCACGAACACCTGTGTGTACACAAAGAAGTCAGTGGAAACATGAGATTAGTAGAAAATAATGTCAGACCACCTACCTGACATGGTTAGCCAATAAGATTGGCTGTCTTGACTTGATTGACCTGATTGGCCTCAGTGTCAGTGTTCATCTCTTAAGGACATATGTACATCTCATATTGAATATTCTGAGGTTTCTTGACAGGAGATTTTTAGTGACGAAAAGATCCGGTTCTGAAAGACTATCTTTATTAGGCATGAAACTTTGTTGGTCTATTTTTTTTTAACCATCATGACATACGCAGAATGGAAATATTCTTTAAATTTAAGAGTTAATGGATTTCCTTTTCCATGTAATATATACTAGATAATTGTCCAATCTTGACAATTAAAAAATAAAAAACAAATAACAGAAGTTGAAAGAACTCAGAGGAAGAGTCAAAAGTACTAATATCTGTATGTTATAAAGCAGAGAATAAAAAATGAGTGTTTATGATATATGGAACAGAAAATAAAATTATGAGTACTATTTAATGTTCAAATATAAGAATTTAGGAACAAAATGATAGAAATCTTGTATGCTACATCACCTAAAGATTAAAATATAGCTACCAATTCATCACAGTGCTTGGCTGCAGTCATGACAATGGTATGAATGTGTGTGAACAGAGAGTGTGTCAATCAGAAAGAACATACCATTAAAATGCACTATTGTGTTCCTAAAAAAGTCAAGGGAGACCTGTACACTTGTGAAAGGATCACTCAAAATACATTGAGTGAGAAACTTTGCTGAAGGTCACATGCACTCCATGTGTTATGGAATGTGGTTCTTGATATGTTCTGTTACAGAGGCAATGGCTGTCTTGGAAACATTAAATGGAGAGCATGTTAAGAGAGATGGATTACCTCTTAACTGAAAGCCATTTTGCAGCAATGAACTGTTTGGAATTGTATTTCTTACAGGCGTCCTTCACTCTTTCTCAGGGTCCCATGACTTTAGGGCACTCACAGTACAGGCCAGCTTCCACTCCCAGGCTTGGTGTTCTTTTCCTCAGATTTCACTGTCATGATGTAGAAGATGGAAGATGGAAACGACAATGCCTGTCTGAAGGAGCAAGTGGATTAGGGTTCTTGAAATGTTCTGTGACAGAGGCAATGCTATCTTGGGAACAGTGAATGGAGAGCATGTTAAGAGAGATAGATTACCTCAGAAGTGATAGCCAATTACAGAGCACTGAAGTGTTAGGAATTGGCAGGGCTCGAGTAGGTCTTTCTTTTCTTCTCTGACTTAGGTCTTTCATAGTAAAGGCCAGCATCCACTCCCAGGCATGCTGTTCTTTCCTCAGATTTCAGTGTCATGATGTAGAAGATGGAAGAAGGAAACGACAATGCCTGTGTGGAGCAGCAACTGGATTAGGATTCTGAGAAGTTCTGTGACAGTCAATGGTTGTCTTGGGAACATTAAATGAAGAGCATGTTAGTAGCAATGTATGACCTCAGAAGTGACAGCCAATGAAGATGCACTGAACTGTTAGGAATTGGCAGGTCTCCAATGGGTCTTTCTTTCTTCTGGGGGTTCCATGACTTCAGGGCATTCAGAGGACAGGCCAGCATGCACTCCCAGGTTTGGAGTATTTTTCCCCAAATTTTACTGGCATACTGTAGAAGATGGAAGATGGAAATGATGATGACTGTTTGAAGTAGCAGCTGGGTTAGTGTTCTTGAAATCTTCTGTGACAGAGGCAATGGCTATCTTGGGAACATGAAATGGAGAGCATGTTAGAAGAGACATATAACCTCTAAACTGAAAGGCATTGATGGAGCACTGAACTGTTAGGAATTTTCAGGTCTCAAATGGGTCGTTCTTTCTTTTTCAGGATCCCATGACTTTTAGGAATTTCATAGTAAAGGCCAGCTTCCACTCCCGGGCGTGGTGTTCTTTTCCTCAGACCTTCAGGTCATGATGTAGAAGATGGAAGGTGGAAAGAACAATGCCTGTATGAAGCAGCAACTGCATTAGGGTTCTTGAAATGTTCTGTGACAGAGGCAATGGCTCTCTTGAGCACATTAAATGGAGAGTGTATCAAGAGAGATGGATTACCTCTGAATTGAAAGCCACATATGGAGCACTGATCTGGTAGGAATTTGCATGTATCAAGTGGGTCTTTCTTTTTCAGTGTCCCATGACTTTAGAGCCTTCATAGTATGGGAAGCTTCCACTCCCAGGCATGGCGTTGTTTTCCTCAGATTTTACAGTCATGGTGTGGAAGTTGGAAGATGGAAACAACAATGCCTGTGTGAAGCAGCAAAGGGATTAGGGTTCTTGAAATGTATTGGGACAGAGGCAATGGCTGTCTTGGGCACATCCCATGGAGAGTATGTGAAGAGAGATGGATTACCCCTGAACTGAAAGCCATTGATGGAGCACTGTAGTGTTAGGAATTTGCAGGTCTCAAATGGGTCTTTCTTTCTTTTTTGGTGTCCCATGACTTTAGGGCATTCATAGTACAGGCCACCTTCCACTCCCAGGCGTGGTGTTTTTTTTTTCTCAGATTTTTCTGTCATGATGTAGAAGATGGAAGATGGAAGCAACAATGCCTGTGTGAAGTACCAACTGCATTAGGGTTCTTGAAATGTTCTGTGACAGAGGCAATGGCTGTTTGGGGCACATTAAAGAGAGAGCAAGTTAGGAGAGATGGATTACCTCTGAAGTGAAAGCCATTGATGGAGCACTGAACTGTTAGAAAATTACATGTCTCAAGCAGGTCTTTCTTTTGTTTTCCGGGTCGCATAACTTTAGGGCATTCATAGTAAAGGCCAGATTCAACTCCAAGGTGTGGTGATCTTTTCCTCAGATTTTACAGTCATGATGTATAGATGGAAGGCGGAAATGACAATGACTGTCTGAAGCAGCATCTGGATTAGGGTTCTTGAAATGTTCTGTGACAGAGGCAATGGCTCTCTTGAGCCCATTAAATGGAGAGTGTATCAGGAGAGATGGATTACCTCTGAACTGAAAGCCACTTATGGAGCACTGATGTGTTAGGAATTTGCATGTGTCAAGTGGGTCTTTCTTTCTTTTTCAGTGTTCCATGATCTTAGGGCATTCATAGTATGGGAAGCTTCGACTTCCAGTGGAGGTGTTCTTTTCCTCAGATTTTACTGTCATAATGTAGAAGTTGGAAGATGGAAATAACAATGCCTGTCTGAAGCAGCAACTGGATAAGGGTTCTTGAAATGTTCTGTGACAGAGGCAATGGCTGTCTTGGGCACATCCCATGGAGAGCATGTGAAGAGAGATGGATTACCTCTGAACTGAAAGCCATTGATGGAGCACTATGGTGTTAGGAATTTGCAGGTCTCAAATGGGTCTACCTTTCTTTCTTTTTTGGTGTCCCATCACTTTAGGGCATTCGTAGTACAGGCCAGTTTCCACTCCCATGCCTGATATTCTTTTTCTCAGATTTTTCTGTCATGATGTAGAAGATGGAAGATGGAAACAACAATGGCTGTATGAAGCAGCAACTGGATTAGGGTTCTTGAATGGGTCTGTGACAGAGGCAATGGCTGTCTTGGGCACATTACATGGAGAGCATGTGATAGAGATGCATTAACTCTGAACTGAAACCCATTAATGGAGCACTGAAGTGTTAAGTTTTTGCAGGTCTCAAGTGCATCTTTCTATTTCAGAGTTCCATGAATTTAAGTCTTTCATAGTAGAGGCAGTTTCCACTCCCATTCGTGGTGTTCTTTTTTTTTTTTTTTTTCAGATTTCTCGGTCATGATGTAGAACATGGACGATGGAAACAACAATGCTAGTATGAGGCAGCTACTGGATTAGGGTTCTTGAATGATCTGACAGAGGCGAGGTCTGTCTTGGAAACATTCAATGGAGAATCTGTTAGGAGAAATGGATTACCACTGAAATGGACGCCTTTAATGCATTACTGTAGTGTTAGGAATTTGCAGGTCTTAAATGGCTCTTTCTTTCTTACTTTTCTGGTGTCCCTTGATTTTAGGGCATTCATAGTAAACTGCAGTTTCCACTCCCAGTCATGGTGTTCTTTTCCTCAGATTTTACTGTCATGATGTAGAAGATGGAAGATGGAAATGACAATGACTGTCTGAAGCAGCAACTGCATTAGAGTTCTTTACAGGTCTGTGACAGAGGCAATGGCTGTCTTGGGATCATCCAATGGAGAGCATGTAAGGAGAGATGGAGTACCTCTGAAATGAAAGCCATTGATGGAGCACTGTACTGTGAGGAATTGGCATGTCTCAAATGCAACTTTCTCTCTCTTTTTCTTTTTTGGTGTCTCATGACTTTAGGGCATTCATAGTAAAGGCCAGCTTCCACTCCCAGGTGTGGTGTTCTTCACCTCAGATTTTCAGGTCATGAAGTAGAAGATGGAAGATGGAAATGACAATGCCTCGCTGAAGCAGCGAATTAGTGTTTTTGAAATGTTCTGTGATAAAGCCAAAAGCTGTCTTGGGAACTCTCAGTGGGAAAGCGCCCCTTGAGACTTCCCAGTTGCTATGGGAACTTATCTGTTCAAACAGAGGTTCTGTGACACTCATGGAGTTCTTCACTTCTTGACCATGAGGTTTGGATGCCAGGTGTAGGAGTTAGAAGTTTATCAAAGCAAGCTGGTCATCATAATCGGGTTGCCCCTACTTATGACCCTGTTTTGCTTGCTTTGCACAAACTTTCTCCCAAAACCCCTTTCATTGATCACACTGAGAAGGCTTGTGGTCATTGCACTCCATAGTGTAATAGCCTGTTTGGGTCCCATCTGCTGCCACCTGCAGGGTGGTTGATTGAGGAAACCAGATGAGGGGCCATGGGGGATGAGAAAAGTCAGAAATCCAAGGGGTGAAAAAGCTGGAACTGGGTGTCGATTACACTCTGGTAGAGTGCAACGGTCAGGAGCCAGCTCAACACGTTTGTTATATAAGTTTCATACTTAAAAGGTTTTTTTTGTGAGAAAATTTGGGCAAAGCCATCAAAACCAAGGTCATATGTATGACCAGTCCAATTATGAGTAGCAGCTTGTGCCCATAACGTTCCACCGCTGAGCCCTGCCACCTGAACCACAAGTTCAAGAACTGAATAGCTCCCTGGGTGGGACAGGTGGAACAGGTCTTCACCCAAGAAACTGGGCAGTCTTGACCAGCGCCTTGCATCAAGAATTCCCACGAGGGGCATCACCTCCCGGGACAATTAAAGAACCCTAATTTAGTCATTGCTCCCAACAATTGCCTAAATGTTATTCTATATGTCCATCAGTGTTGAGGAAAACACTTCAAGTTGCTGCTGAATTTACATCCTAATGACTGGGTTCCAGTTTGAGCTCACTGGCAATTTTGGAAGCAATATTTTTGAATGCCTTGGATTTCTCTGATATGGGCTTAAAGCGGACCCCGTTTAAAGACAGTCTGGGAAGTTTACATACCTCCATCTCCCACTGCACCACTTTCTCGGTGTACCCATCTCCATAGATGCAAAGGAGCAGAAAGGGCGTCTTGTGCATATATTGGCAGTTGTTGGCATCTAGCACCTTGCGGATTTCCCTCATGATGTCACTAGGATCCATGGCACTAGTGATTTTCATGCCCCAGGTGAAGTGCAGGGAGCAAGGTTTTGCTTGTTGGTTCTCCTTTCTCTGCTCAGCAGAGACATGTTGACTTGAACCCTTATATCTCACGGTCTTCTCAGACTCAGTTGGAGGCCTTCTTGTGAATTTAGATGTTAACTTAGTAAAAACACCAGTGGTGCCTCTTCTTTGAGTCTGGGGCAATGCTTCAGCTGGATGGAAGCAGCTGGGTGAGGCAAGAGGACCTTCGTGTGTTGCAGTTTGGGATTCCCGGGGCTGGCGGTGGAACATTCTACGAAGGACACTGGCTCTGGGGAAGCAGATGCAGCCCCGGGTGGAGGTACTTGGGACACTGTGGGTTGAAGTCACTGGAGGGCTCTGAGCAGGGAAGTTGCTGTTGTTCTGACCATTCTGGCTCACTGAACGTGTGTCTGCTTTGGTTGTTTTGCGGCAAATGTACTTACTCCACAGTGTCCTCCCTCCAGATGGTGTGCTGCTCTTGTAGGCAGCAGGCATTTTCTTGAATTCAGGAGTCTCCAGCTCCTTGGGACTGGTGGTGATCCCAGGTAGGGGCCTGGCTGGAGAAATTCCCTTTCCTCCCACAGCACTGCCACCGGATTTCTGGGAGGCCATTTGATGTTCTCTGAGGTGACTCTGGGCAGTGCTGGTCAGATATGGCCCAGTTCCAGCATGGTCCAGGGACTGTGTCTGCTTCTGAGTGGAAACGCTTCGCTGCACTTTGCGGTGAGGAGGCCAGCTGGTGCTCTTTCTGAGGACCCTGCTTGGCAGCAGCTTAGCCAATGAGATGTTTCTGTGGAAGATGGCCACATATGGACCAACAAGAGGTTGGAGGACATCAAGGCCTCTGTTGATCCACCTGTCTCCCATAATTTCGGCCAGGGTGCTGCGCTTAGTTGGATTGAGCACCAGCAAGCGTTTCAGCAGATTTTCACATTCTGTTGACATGTACAGAGGGATTTGGTATCTACCTTGTAGCACTCTGTCTCTAATTTCTCTCACATTGTCCCCAACAAAAGGAAGCGACCCGGTGACTAGGGTGTACAGAACCACGCCAAGACTCCACACATCCACTTCGGGACCATCATACTCTATGCGCTGGAAGAGCTCTGGAGCTGCGTAGGGCGGACTGCCGCAAAACGTGTCGAGTTTACACCCAAGTGTAAACTCGTTGCTGAGTCCAAAATCGGCTACCTTGATCTTCATCTGTGAGTCTAATAACAGATTGTCCGCCTTCAGGTCTCGGTGGGCGACCTGCTTTTGGTGACAATATTGGACTGCAGACACGACCTGCCGGAATATAGATCTTGCCTCCTCTTCCTGCAGCCTTCCTTTGTTGGCCAGATAGTCCAAAACTCCCCCTCCACTGGCGTACTCCAGGACCAAACAGAGTGCTTTTTCGCAGTCCAGAGCTTCATAGAGCTTCAGGATGTGTGGGTGGTCTAACATCTTGAGGATTCTCACCTCTCTGTACATCTTTTGGAGGACTTGTGGCTTCAGATGTCTCTTATCGATGATCTTGATTGCCACTTCTTTACCTGTGATGACGTGACGGGCCAGCATGACTTTGGCGAAGGTCCCCTTGCCAAGGGTTTTCACTACTGTATAATCTCCAATGCGAGGTGGTTTACCTGCAGAGGAAGCTGTGGATTTTGGGCGCTGTGCTCCAGAGTGCCCGGTCTGGGAGGTGTCTTCTGCCCGTCTAGATCCATGCGAGGGGTGCATGGTTTGACCCAAGTTGATGATCGATGGGTCTGGATGTCCCTGGAAAGTTTAGGATAGGTTAGGGCTAGGCAAGGACAGGGGTTGGGGGAAAACAAGGAGAGAGTTGGAGATGGGTTGGGGAAAAAACAGCCACAACTGCCTTTTACCAACAAATACCGTGCCCAGTTCAAAAACTCGCTCTGGGAACATCAAAGGCCAAAAGGCAAATGAGGAGTGGTTCTAGGTCCACTCATTTCTAGGATTCTCATTCTATTATCTCCTAGGCAATCAATGCAGTCATAAAGGTACTGACTGCATAAAGAGTGGTCATATGCACCCTAAGTGGACCAAGGACCCAGGCACTTACTCTGTCTATGGAACTTGACAGTTTGGGGGTCAAGACCTGATGAAAAAGAGAACTATTTTTTTTTCCAGAAATATTCAGCTGGACATAAACACACTTGACAATTCAATTTGGATGGTGAAGTTGATTGGTGAAAGCACTGGGGTTGTAAGAGTGGTCCACTTTACCTTTTGAATATAACCCTGGCTGCTTATTTTAAAAGGGAAATGTTTTTCTTTTCCCCTTCTCCCTGTCTCCCTCCCTAACCTGGGGGCATGGAACAAGATTACCTTGAGTTATCTGTTCTCCACAGGAAGGAGAAATCACCAGAAGAACTAGGAAGTGATGAGCTCCCAGATCAACTAGTTAATCATAACACACACTCAGGATGCACCTGGGAACCCCTGGTCAGGGCACACCCGGAGTGGAGCCTTTGAATAGTCTCCTTAAAGACCCTCTGTTTTCCCTGATGGGCAGAATCAAATCTTCTGGCACAGGAGTCCCCTGTGTTTCCCCTTTGCTGGCAAAGCAATAAACCTCCTTTCACCTTGATCTCAAAACCTTCTCCTCATTATTGCATGGCCATAAGGGACAAGGCCCAAGGTTTTTGGTAACAGGTCAGGGACCCAGGCTCTAGTGTATTGCTCATCTGCTTTTTTCCCCTAGTGTCTTTCAAAAGTCTTCAAAACTCCTTTATTCAATCATTGTAGGGGCCGCAACATGCAAATACTAGTTTCACCTCTCTTCTTTGTAAAAGTTGTCTTGCATTTCTGCCAAATACCTGTATCTTTCAAGGAGATTATTAATTTACTTCCAGTATTGAACATGTAGGCTTTTTAATATCAGTAAAGAAACAAAATAAAATGTGTCACACATGTGGCCACTTAATACTTACAAGTCATTCTCAAAATAAACCCGGATGCAATTTCAAGTGCAGCCGCACTCCATCTGCTGAAATTTTATATCTTACCCTATGGTATGATTTTTGGAAATTAAGTCATTTTTTGAACAAATACAAAATATTCAAAAATGGGCCTGGCATATGCTTTGTACTCATCAACTACTTGTGGAATAAATGGTTTACCATTGCTTTGTATTCTTAATTACCAGAAGAGTGTGTGTGTGTGGGGGGGGGGGCACATGCACATCAATGCAGCATTTCCTTGTTAATAGCAGTCTTCTTGTTCATATTGAATGCTTTCACACATTATATTCTAATAGTGCTACACACATCTGGTGTCAATGTAACAGTGGTCCACCTTGTGTTTTGAATAAAGCTCTTGACGCTCTGCCCCTGTAACTCATTTTTTAAGTAGATATGTTTTTATTCTCTTCTTCTCTCATTGCTCCTCCCTAATTTCAGGGGGAACAGGATTATCTTTTTTTCCCCATTTCAGGCAGATTTCTCTCTCTGAGTGTTCACACCCACCAAAGGAAGGACGTAATCCAGACTTTGGGGATGGTACCAGAAGATCTCAGAAATGATTCTCCCAAATTAACAAGTGAATTACAACTCCAGACAGAGAACATGTAGAATGTAGCCTTTGAATCACCTCTTTATAAGCCCCCTGTTCCTGCTGATAGGCAGAATCACAGCCTTTGGGACAGAAGTCTCCTGTGTTTCTCTTTTGTTAGCAAAGCAATAAGCCTTCGTTTTCTTTTCTCTCAAAACCGTGTCCTCCTTATTGGACTGGGCTTTCAACAATATCAAGATGCTATAACGAATTCAAAATACATACTATTTGCAATTAGTAGACAGGTATCATTTGAGTCTACCAGATTTGTACAATAACTATTAAATGTTCTCCCATATTAAGTGGCTGATACTGTGAATACTTTAACCTTTTCTCAGTGACTCATGTTCACCTCTAGCAACATCAATAAATGTAAGATTTCAAGCCTATGGGCCTTCCATAAGCTTCCATCAGCTCTCAATAGAGGTCTGACACATTGTTTTGTTTTGTTGGTTTTTTGTTTGTTTGTTTTTTTGGTGTTGTGTTTTGGTATTAAACACCCACTGAAAAACTTAGATTATTTGTCTAAATTTTATGTTGTGACCATATAATTTAAGATTCAAAGTGAAACATTTTGAGAGTTAAAAAAGGGGGGCATAAGAAGTAGTCAACAATAAAATTATACATTATTTGGAACATTTTATATTGGCTGATGATTAGCTTTATTTTCTCACTATGCCTATACAATGGTATAGTTAAAAAGTAATGATTCTAGTAAAACAACAGTTCCATTTAAAACAAGTAATGGTTTTATTTACTACAATGGTTCTAGTCAAAAACTCATTTTAAATCAAATATTTTATGCAAATTAAAATTCCAAAAGTTCATAAGTACCAAAGTGTCTTTAAAAAAGATAAAATCTTTATATTGGCTATAAACTCTTGAAGCATGATAGCTCTTTGTATACATCCATGTTCTTTAATCAGATTCTTAACCTCATGTGTTCCTTAATCTCATGTCAGAGATATTTTTTCTGAAGAATATATTTTTAAAGAAGATCTCATTTAAAAACTTCAGTGCATTTCCCACAATCCTGGTCATGCATAAATTTTATAATTAATATTTGCCTATATTGATTTTCTCAGTTGACTCTTTTCAGCATATTATATTTTTAATCAGGAAAACAATCTTTCTACAATTAGTGATATACCTGTTAAACTCAGTGAGAATTATTATAAAGAATATCTTAAATTCAAATTTTTATTTAAAAATATGTATATATTTTAGCCAAGTATTTTTATAGGTCTCCCTTCTCTTCAAAGTGCCTCTCTTCATCTAATGTTTTCTCCATGCAAAATGTGCTAACATGTTATCTCTGTTTATGATTCTTTCTACAGTAGTGCCAAATTTAGATGATATAAAACTATAATCTTTATTTCACGTCATTAAGGTTGTTATGATTTGATTCTGTGTCCTTTCCAAAAGTCACGTTGAAATTTATTGTCATTGAAAAAATATTATGAGGTAAGTTTGTTGAGGTGATGAGGCTCTGCCCTCATAAGTGGATTATGCTGTTATGGTGGGAATAGGATTTCATAACAGGGTAAGTTGGTGCCCCCTTACCCTTCTATACCCTCTGCCATGGGATGACCCGGCAAGAAAGTTATCACCAAATGCTGTCTCATGGATCTTGGACTCTCAGCTTCCTGAATAGTAAAATATAAGTTTCTGTGATATGTTACTATCACAGCACAAAATAACAGAATCTGTAACTTTCTAATTAAAAATAAATGTCCGGAGTTGGAACATGGCGGTGGGTGCGGAAGGAGCAATCCCATGACCTCCTCAGCTATGCTGGCAAAAAGAGACTTCAGAATGTCTGGATGCTGTCTGCTCAGGAACGCCTAGCAATGTTGGGCTGAGGTGGTACCTAAGTGAGCAGTTTGAGTGTCTCAGAGGCCACAGTGTGCTCAGGTAAGGGTGAATCCAGGCCACCTGGAGCGTGGAGTTACTGGCTGGTTGATTTGTGACCCGCCACCCACCCACCGCGACTCAGTGCTACAGAGACCCTTGAGCAGAGTAGAGAAACAAAACTTTGGAGCTTTGGAGGATCTTTTGAGTGGTGCCAAAAGAGCCTCCATGGTCCAGCAGACCGACAGCTGAGGTAGGATTTAGGAGATACAGACCAGACCCAGTCTTCCCATCGGACACCCTGGCAAGGAAACCAGGGTCCACCCTGGCAGAGAACTGATGTCATCAGAGTTCGGGGGATGGATCCCTCCACAATGAAATTGGCGACCACAGCGCTGACAGCGGAGGCATTTTTCACAAGCTCCTGGGGGCGTGGCTACCTGAGGGAATTAGGCAAAATAAGCCAATGGCCCCTAGCTCCAGTGCTCCACAACCTTGGGGTCTGGGTGAACAGCAAATAGAGAGAGTGCCCAGTCTTTCAAGAGAACAGGGTACCCAGGGGGCTGTAGGCCTGGAGTGTAGCTAGATCTGTGGAAAATGGCACCAGTGAGTGGGGCCTGGCGGGCTGGAGAAGCATGGGTGGAGGGGGTGGGGGGGCTGCTGGTGACCAAGAACGGCCCTGGGCGACCAGGATTGGTGAGCCACCCAGCTGGGGAGGACGAGCTGTCTCACAGGGATTGTTTCTTGCATCTTGAGGGCAGAAGTTTGGCCCAGAGGGCACAGCTCCACTTACTGGAAGAAACTCTTAAGACTGCATTTATGTTTGTTTGTTTGTTTGTTTCAACTTTTAATTTTATCCCCTTTTCCTTTATTCTTCCTATTTTTTCTTTCTCTCTATCTCTCTCTTTAATGACTTCTTCCTTCTGCTTCCCCTAGCTTTCCTCCCAAGCATTACGACTTCAATTATGCGTAATTTACTAAATGCATATAGGTGAATGTTCCGAGGTGGTCTACAGTACTCCCAAGTCCCTAGCTACCCCCAAATACTCCAGTCCATTCTCCTGTAAATATCCCACTTCAGTAGAGCAATCTTCCAAGGTTGCTAAGATATACCAATCCCCATACCATCATATCACCAGACCCAAACATAAAGTCCTAAGACCAAACCGTTGATCGCTATATGCCATCAGAATCTGTATGTCATTTATGAAATGAATGTATTTGCTTTAAAGTACACTTCTCAGAGGAGGACATACAGTCAATCAACAAGTACATGAAAAAATGCTCACCATCTCTAGCTGTCAGAGAAATGCAAATCAAAACCACCCTAAGATACCATCTCACTCCTGTAA